GCACGTCCGCTTCCACTCGGGGAACACGTTCCAGTCCGGGAAACCCCACTTCTGGTTCTTGCGCGGGGCGCCCTCGTGCGGCGTGTAGATGATGCGCGGCTTGTTCTTCTTCTTGTTGTTGTTCAGGATGGAGGACTCCTCGGCTTCCTGGTCGATGGCCACCTCGGGCGGGTGCGTGAACATGGACACCCCGCTCTGCTCCCAGTCGATCAGGCGCACGTTGTCGTCCCCGTCGACGAGCATGTTACCCGGCTTCAGGTCCATGTGGTAGCTCCCCGCGACCTGGTGCGTGTGCTGGATCGCGAGGGCCATCTGGTAGCACCACTTGGCGCGCAGCCCGAGGGGGAGCCGGGTGTTGGCCTTGTTGGCGCGGAGGACCTGCTCGTCGACGCTGTCGCGCGCCATGACGGGCTGCAGGAAGCCGCAGATGCGGTCTACGTCCCCGTCGGGGACGACGACGAGGATCCGCGGGCGCGGCATGATGTTGGGGTGCGGCGGCAGCGTGCAGAGGGTGCGGATCTCGTGGAGGAGGGTCTTCTCGACGTGCTCGCGGAAGTCGTGGCGGGCGACGTCGAAGTTGACGCCCTTGAAGACGAAGGGGGCGGCGAAGGCCGGGTGGGTCACGGTCCGGGCGCCGGTTTTGCCGGGGAGGCGGCCGATGTGGATGAGGTCGGAGAAGTGGACGAGGTCGAAGGTTGCGGCGGGGCAGCCGGGGGCGCGGAGGGCGGCGAGGAAGGCGGTGTAAGGGGTGAGCTGACGGATGTAGTCCTCCCTAATAGGAGACATGCTTTCCGCAGTCATGATGACCGTGGGGGGGAAGGAAAAGGAGTTGAGAGAGTTTGCGTGTAAGTTGGAGGATTTTGGGATATCTCGAGTTGTGGACTTTCTCTGGGTTTTTGTCTTCTTCGTCGTTTGGGGGGCGTGCGTGCGGTGAAGTGGTCAGGGGCGAGGCAAGGATGGACATACAGATCGGTTGGTTCTCCCCCCTCCTCCCAAGCATTCCACAACTCTTCTCAAATAAGAAAGCTCTTCGTAGGAGGCCCGAATGTAGTTGATTCACTGCAGGACAGGAAGTCTGAGCTTCGAACAGTTCAGTCAGTATGGTGAACCACGTCGAGTGTAACCCGGATCGAAGACTCCGGGAATAAGAAGTGAACTTTGTTTTTTTCTTTTCTTTGTGTCTTCTTTGGTTCTCGCCTTACCTTTGACAACTCGGTGAATAGAGAAGCATTAGGCAATGGTCAACTGTGATTGGAAACAATGTAATGTTCCATCCCATGCGGTGGGATCATGGTTGTTGAGGAGGGCTAGTATCCAAGATGCTTTTTCCTTCGACTTGACTGTTCTGTGACAGGCAGGATGTGCTGCTGGATGGGGTTTGACGGGTGCTCGAAGGGTTTAATTTACCAGGCAGACGGAAACTGCGACATTGGCATGCAGACCCGAGGGTTGATAATGGAAAAGGAGGAATACGTTCGGGGGAGGGAAAGGATCTTTGCCCAGGGGGTGGCTAACGTGTTCCTTTCAAGTCCCCCCGAGTCCCGGGTGTGAGACTTTTTTGCTCTCGCAACAGAGTCCCAAGAAGGCGCAGTGATGGCATATCGCCAACGACGCTACTACTACCCTTCCTCCCCCTGCCCCCCACGGGGCTAAATCCTCCAGCAACTCTTTCCTTTGGTCCTGGGCTTGTGATGGTATGTCGTCGACTGTCTCACCCTGTCGCCTTGACACGGATCATATGACCGTGGACTGTTGGTTTTGGCTCTTGGGGGGCGTTTGGGGAAATGGCTGGCTGGCTGGCAAAGTGAGGCGGGCGTAAGATGATATCACGAAGCGCCATGGTCAGTGTCGAGGTGTCTGCCAAATCGGTCGGTGGGCAGGATGCATGACACTAGGCGGGAGGTGATTGGTGGTATGGGCACAAGGGCGCGTCGTCTCGTCCCGCAGCTGGTTCTGATTTTGCTCACATCTGATATCTGACAGGATGCGGGATGCTACGGCCCTTAGCGGGATCACCGTGTGATGTTGCCATTCTGTTTGGACTTGTTCTTTTCTTCTTCCTCGCCGTCCTTCTTGTCCTTGCCATGCCTAGATCTTCCCGTATCGGGTATCATTCGGCAGAACCCTGGATTAGCAAGGCTGGCTCGATGCAGAGTTCTTTTGCAAAAATACCCCTATATGCAGGGGATGCCAGCAGAATTCCTCCGTCCGCAGAGCTTGCCCCATCTGATGGCACGGTAGTCTTCTCTTGGATCCTGATCCCCGCCGGAAATATGTGAGCACTCAAGAGATGGTCAAGGCAAGGGCTCCACCCCCAATCGAGAATCCAATCGAGAATGGGCTTGGGGGAATATGCAGGCGGGAGATCGGGTCGTCGCTGTCGATAGCTGTTCAACCCCCCCGGACGGGTTTAGAGCGTGGGTGGGATTGTTGTCACATCTCATCGATGGGCCTTTTTTGTCCTTTCAGTGGGTGACGTAAGACACGGGAATGAGACAACAGGGCCTGGAGTGCTCTACCAGGGGTGAGGGACTGGAGGATCACCAGTGGACGTTCTGTGGTTTTCTGTACGGAGTAAGGTTGTGTTGGTCGTGTCTTGGAGGGGGGCGGGCCCTATGAGGAATTCCGGTGAGTCGCGGGCGATCTCTGATGTTACTCTTCTTCTTGATTTAATTTATTGTTGGGCGGGGGCCCATCTCGGGGACACGCAGGGCCGGCCGGGGGGTACGGGGAGGCGAATGTTGTTGTCGATTTGTGGATGCGCAGCCAGGGTTCACAACTGTTGAAGTGTGTGTGGTGATATGAGTGAGGGTAGGTGAACTGCGGGAGATATTCCTACTGCCGCTAGGGCGGTATTTCTTTTGTGGAATGTCCCTTGTCTCTGGGTGGTGGTCCCTGGTTAGCTGAACACCCATCTCTGCATTGATTTTGACAACGTTGAGGGGTGGCTGAGTGTGTCTCAGTTGGTTGAGTGAGGATTGCTCGCATTCTGACGGTTTAGAGGCGTTTTGACCCGCGTGGCATGATCAAGTCGAACGGCTGATGAGAGTGGTGGAAAGCATGGCTGCCAGCTGTGAGGAAGCGAAGTGATGCATGGCGTGGTGTGTCTAATGTCGCGCACACCGAAGGTGAGAGGTGAGAGGTGAGAGGCGCCAGTACGGGGAAGGGCAGGCGTGAATGAGTTCGGGTAGGTGGGCGGCCAATGACGGGGTTTGCCTTCAAAACCTCGAAAGTCAATGCTGGCGGCTTAAAGAGCCCCGAGGTGCCGAACACGCGCCGATCTGACACTAAGTCCGGCGGGCAGGTGGCACGGCACGATACCAGCGGGGGAAACGCTCCATTGGCGGGCCGGGGAGCATCCGCTGGTCTTCCGGCTGGGCGAGGGCCACCGTCCTCACTCACCACACTCACCTACACAAGCATGACAAGGTACCTTGAGGTAAGGCAAAAGGTAAGGTAGGGGGGGACTGAAGACGCTTAGCTTCGGCGGCCGGCGAGAATCCCAAGACAGACCGTGCCAGCAAACGTGCAAGCAAGCCTCGAGCCAACGATGTCTTAATTGTGGCCACTTATTTCTAAAGAAAGGTGAGATAACATGGGGTACGTTCATTGGATTCCTAAGCTGGGGGGTACATACGGATACTTGGTACTCACATACGCTCATATCAGCTCTCACATCATATCATTGAGTGAGATGAGATGCCCCTCATCTGATGAGAGCACAGCACCTAGTAAGTAGTAAGTAAAGTGTGAGTGAAAAGACTCGGTGTGACTGGAGAGTGAGTGCTTGCATGTCCCCAGTTTCCAGACTCCAGTCAATCAATGGTTGCACCATCTGAAATGCCCGTCGACCACGCGATAAACTCAGTGCCTTGCATCAGCAACCTACATACCTTACTTTGAGCTTTGAGTACCCGCAACTCTCCCTCACACTAAGGTTGCTTAGGGTAGTGAAGGTACACTTACTGAAGGCAGGCAAGATGGAACACTAAATGAAAAGTGCCGCCGGCAGTGCAACACTCGATCGCTCGCTCGGTGGGGGAGACCGGGCTGCCCGCATTCCAGTATGATGCCAGTGCCCGCCCTTTGGCATTTCTTATTCCTTTCCTCCCGTATGTAGTGTACGCGTGCACCTTCACTAGCAATCCTACGACACACAATCAGTTCCTCTCACCACTGCAGAGTGAGTACAGAGTACTTGTACGTACCCATCTTGGTATGCAGCGGTCCCCGCCCGTCCGCTCCGTTCGAGGTGCAACCTTCCCGAAGCGGCATCGAACTGGGTCATTTTGCCCACTGCAGCTTCGCGGTGTTTGGTCTTGGCAACTTGGCTCTTCTTCGCGTGCTCGTGTTTCCTGTCTTTTCTCGCCCCGATGCCGCATCCCCAGCAGCGAATGATTGAATCTCTCGCTGTTTACTCAGTGGTACTTCCAAAATCCAATTTACAGCAAAGTCTTGGGAGCTGGATTATCAGACCAACTTTGGCAGGTCGTTATGGACGCTGGGAGTAGTCCGCCGGGCCGGGTTCTTTTGCAGCTTGCTTCCATGCCCCCAGCCAACCTTTTCTGAGCCAACGCAACCACTCACAGTCGCTGCCGAGACCAACGACCGTCATTGAAGCTGCGAAGCTCCAATCTTAAGTCGTCTTGGCACTCCGAGCACGACATGCATCGCCATGAACCTGTGCTGCTGCGACCGCCAGTTGGACCGCCAAACTCCATTAATTCTCGTGGAGCAGCAGCGGCAGCACCAGCAGCGGGCAATGCGACCTGCCTGATGCGCACCATTGCGAATGCTCCCGTTCAATCGCACGACCGCTGCACCTGCCGTCCGGGTTCTCGTCAATCATCGTCCGGGAAGCTATAAAGCCCCAGGGTTGCTTTTCGACGTGACCCGTCTTCCTCTCGAACTCTCCGCTTCTCGCTCCCCTCCCCCGCCAACCTCCTCGACCCTATTCGCGCCGCTTCTCCTCCGCACAGAACGAAGCACCGCAGACTGCAATGGCGCGTCTCCTCAACGCCGTCGCGGCAGCCACCGCTCTTCTCGTGGGCGTCGCGACCGCCATTGACCGCGAGCCCCACCAGCCCTCCGGCGGCGGCGACAAGATTGTCACCTGGAATGAGACCGTCGTCTCTCCCCGCTTCGGCGCCAGCGCCCGCTCCGTCAGCTGGCTCTCCGGCACAGACGACGGCCGCTATATTGAACAGGACGACGCCGGCCTTGTCATCGTGGACATCATCTCAGGCGATAACAAAACCTTTGTGTCTGCCGACAAGTTCCCCGCTGGTGTACATGAGTACTGGATCCGCCCGGACCTGAAGAAGGTGCTCTTCGCCACAAACTACACCAAGCAGTACCGCTACTCGTACTTTGCGGACTACTCCATTCTGGACGTCGAGTCCGGCGCCCTCCAGCCTCTGCTGCCCGAGGCGCTCGGAGATGTCCAATACGCCGAATTCGCACCTGTTGGCGACGCCATTGTAAGTATCGGCCAATTGAGCGCGGTCTTGCAACCTCCCAGCTTACACGATTGCAGGCATTTGTTCGCGGCAACAACCTCTACCTCAGCAAGAACGGCACCGTCTCTCAAATCACCAACGATGGTGGCCCGGATCTGTTCCACGGCGTCCCCGACTGGGTCTACGAGGAGGAGATCTTCGGTGGTCGCAGCACGCTGTGGTTCTCCCCCGACGGAGAGTACGTTGCCTACCTGAGCTTCAACGAGACCGGCGTCGAGACCTTCACCATCCCCTACTACATGGACAACCAGAAGATCGCTTCCCCGTACCCCAAGGAGCTGGACCTGCGCTACCCCAAGGTCGGCAGCACGAACCCGACCGTCCAGCTGACCGTGCTGGAGGTCGGCAGCGAGAAGTCCACTCCCGTCACCATCGACGCGTTCCCCGCTGACGACCTCGTCGTCGGTGAGTTGAAGTGGGTTACGAAGAACCATACCAGCTTCGTCTACCGTGCCTTCGACCGCGTTCAAGAGCAAGAGAAGGTTGTTCGTGTCGATGTCGATGGCTACGCATCCCAGACTATCCGTGAACGTGACGGTTCTGACGGCTGGCTGGACAACAACCTGGCCATTGAGTACATCGGCCCCCTGCAGAACACTACCGACGCGTACTACCTCGATCTGTCCGACCATACTGGCTGGAATCACTTGTACCTGTACCCCGTCAAGGGCGGCGACGCCATCCCTCTGACCAGCGGCGAGTGGGAGGTCGTGGCTGTGGTCAAGATCGATACCGAGCGACAACTCGTCTACTTCCAATCCACCGAGCACCACAGCACCGAGCGTCACCTCTACTCCGTGTCTTATCCTGCGGGCACCAAGAAGGCGCTCGTTGACGACAAAGTCGATGGCATGTGGAGCGCTTCCTTCTCTGCCTCGGGAGGTTACTACATCCTCAGCTACCAGGGCCCCAACGTCCCCTACCAGGAGCTGTACGCCATCAACTCCACCGAGCCAATCCGCACCATCACCAGCAACGACGCCCTCGTCGCGCGCCTCAAGGAGTACAAGCTGCCCAACATCACCTACTTCGAGCTCACCCACCCCGACGGATACTGCCTGAACGTGATGCAGCGTCTCCCCGCCAACTTCGACCCCTCCAAGAAGTACCCTGTCCTCTTCACCCCCTACGGCGGCCCCGGCTCGCAGCAAGTCACGAAGCGGTACCAGACCATCAGCTGGTCGGCCTTCATCTCCTCGGACCCTGAGCTCGAGTACATCACCTACACCGTCGACAACCGCGGCACAGGCTACAAGGGCCGCGCCTACCGATCCCTCGTCGCCGGCCACCTCGGCCGCCTCGAGCCCCTCGACCAGATCTGGGCCGCCGAGCAGCTGGCATCCAAGAACTCCTTCGTCGACGCCGGCAAGATTGGCATCTTCGGCTGGTCATACGGCGGATACCTCTCGGCCAAGGTCGTCGAGCAAGACTCGGGCGTCTTTTCCCACGCGCTAATCGTCGCGCCCGTTAGCGACTGGCGCTTCTACGACTCGGTCTACACGGAGCGCTACATGAAGAGCCTGGGCGAGAACGAGGAGGGCTACAACGAGACGGCCGTCCGCAACCCCGCCGGCTTCAAGAACATTGCCGGCGAGTTCACCATCCTCCACGGCACCGGCGACGACAACGTGCACTACCAGAACGCCGCCGCGCTCATCGACCTATTGGTCAGCGCGGGCGTGCCCAACGACAAGATGAACTGGCTCTCCTTCACCGACAGCGACCATAGCATTGCGTACAACGGTGCAAACATCTGGCTGTACAAGTACATGACGGAGGCGTTGTTCCGTGAGAAGAAACGCTCCGGCGACCGGTTGGTGCACCAGTGGACCAAGAAGTCCGACGCGAGCTTCGACTTCGATCGGGAGTAGGCACGCTTTCACAGCAAAGCATCAATCATGAATTTCTTCTGTAAATACTTTCTAGCATGATCTAATGAGTAATTATTCTTATCAAATACCCCAAGGCTTATTCGCGTCATTAAATTTTCTGCTCTGAAGCTTTGAAGTGCACATCAGGTGGTAATCACTAATCCTTTTTCCTCAGTCAACACAGATACACCCTGTAGTCTCGGCAGAAAGGATAACGAGAACACTTGAGCTACCTGTCGTACCCGGCTGTGACGGTCTACACCGCAGCATATCTTGAATGCCCAAAAAAGTGAGCCGCCAACGAGATTGAAAGTCATCGTTCCTTGCCAGGCATCTTCCTGCCGTACATCCATTTGATCCGTGTGTAATTATGTTCTGGCATCTAATGTCCGGCGAGAAAGGTCACACCGTCAGATTCTGGCCGACTTCTTAGGTACTCTTACTCTGGCAAGACCATGAGGCCAAATATACCTCTCACACATAAACATCTGTTGGAATATACTACACAACGACAAAGGTGGATAGAAGAGTAAGCATGCGGCGGAAAGACGGGGAACATCTCGGTGTTGTCTCTACCACACTACGGAGGTCCCGGCAGAACAAGCCAAGCAACCCTCGTTAGAAATCAAAAGTAAAGCAATGCTTATATGTCAAGCTGGCGTCTGCAGCCGACCATGAAACGTGAAGCAAATATCCGCCAAAGGGGCCTCATATCAACAGCCCATGTTGCCCCCATAACACCCAAGAATAACGCCAAACCTGAATTTCAAACATCGCCAACCGCAAAAGCACTCCACACCTCGTCATCACCTGGTTGCGTCACTTCATACTCAATCCGCCAAACACCCGATCCAGCTCCGCGCCCTGGTCATTCACCGGCATCTCGCTCGCGCCCGCCTGCCCCGCTGCCATCGTCTGCGCATCCTGCAGCTCCTCGCCGCCCGCGCGCTCTGGCTCGAGCAGCCGCGCGTCGCTGTCGAGCCAGCCCGGCGCCACGCGCCTCTTCTCGGCGAGCTCGCGTGCCTGGATGCGCTCCTCGAGCTCGCGCAGGTCGCGCTCGGCGTCCGCCTGCATCTTCTCGATGTGCGCCTGCAGCGCGCGGCAGGAGGCGATGATGTCGTCCGGGTGGGCGGCGTGGCCGGACTGCGAGACGACGTATTTGGGCTTGTTGCTGGCGTCGGCGGGTTGCGGGTTCGGGTTGCCGGAGTCGTCGGGGCTGGCGGCGGGGATGCCGGTTGCGGAGGGGGGCAGGGCGGAGGGCATCGCTTTGTAGTTGTAGGAGAGGGTTGTCGCGGTCGGGAGGGAGATGAAGGGGGAGACTGTCAGGGGGACCTGCTCGAGGAGGGGGTGGGAGCCTGGGTGGTTGTGTTAGTTCTGATGGTGTTGGCGATGGAGGGAGAGGGGGGACTTACGGTTGCTGTACATGATGGGCGATGGGTAGGCAGCTTTCCTTGGGCAAGTTGTGGTTCAGTTGAGTGGAAGAGAAAGCCGTTTTGGAGGACGGGGTCAGCTTTGGGAGAGAAGCATGTGGTCTTGCGTCGCGGCGTCTTGTGCCTGAGACTTGCAAGAGATGCGCGGAGTGTCTGTGTGGTGGTGGTGGTGATTGCGTGGAGCTTCTGTCGTCCCCGCGGCGACAGCGACAAGGTCCAGCAGACGGGGAGAAGCCGTGTGTCGGTGTGGAGAGAGCTCAGACCCCTCCGAGCATGGAGAAAAGGCACGTATTCCTCAGCAGACCGCACAGGCACCTCACCGCCTTCCCTCTTTCCTCCTTTAAGATTACATCATCTCCAACCAGATCCAGGTCCAATCACGTGCTGATAGCGATAAGAGCTTTCCTCTGCCAGAAAGCTGTGTTTCCCTCCGACGCCAACCCCACCATGTCGCCGTTGAAAGGGTCCAACATCGATTTAGCACAACTCCGGAAAGCCGTCAACATGCTGCCGGTCACCATCCGCACGCCGCCCGCAGTTGCGGACTACACCCCGATCGAGGAGTGGGAGTCGCAAACTCCGCAGTCCTTCACCCCCGAGAAGGCAGTGCTGCATTTCCACCTTGAGGCCGCCAGGGCGTGGGTTCCTGCGTCGCAAAAGGGCGGCCTGGCTGTCGTGTTCCCTGCCGATGGATCGAGCGCCGCGAGCGCCCCCGAAGGCGCAACGTTGAGGGATGCTGGAGAGGAGCTGGTCGAGCAGACTGTGTCGGTCTTTGTTACTTCAGAGTAAGCAATTCGACTACTTGGGACACTCAATTGAGGTCGGAGGAGAGATGAAGCTGACGTGTGGATGCCAGGCAATTCATCATCTTCTCGTCAGCGGCAGGAGCAGGTGTCGGCATCTCGTACCCCGCCATCTCGATCCACGCCGTCAAGGCAGTCGGCACCATCGCCGATGACAAGCCTCTCCAGGCCATCTGGATGCAGCTCCAGCTCGCGGACGGCGGCGACGGCGACGACGACTACGACACGGTCGACCTGACCATCGTCCCGGGCCTGGCGGACGGCGCGCAAGCGGACGTGCAAAAGTTCTACGAAGCGATCTCGACGTGCTCGGATCTGCACCCGGACCCGGCCGACGAGGACGAGGAGATGGACGACGACGCTGGCGGGCGCATTATCTTCGAGGGCGACTACGAGCCCGTAGAGGGGTACACGGGTGTGCTGCACGGCGCGGCGGACGGCGGGCTGCCGCCTTCGTTCCCGGGCAGCGGGGGCTGGATCACGGCGGAGAATGTTCACTTGCACTTTGATGCGGACGGGAACTGGATCGGCGGGCAGAATGGCGAGGAGGGCGGTGAGCTTGGGGAGGGCGCGGGAAGGGTCAGGGGCCACGATGAGGTCAACGGCAGCGGTGTGAACGGCCACGACGATCCCGAGAACAAGCGCCCGCGTGTGGATGAGCCATAGAGGAAGTGTGTTTGCGCAGTGGAGGCGGCATGATACCAAAAAGATCGGGACCTGGACGCAGTGTGAGGTAGGAAATTCATTTTCTCAATGTTCTCTTGCTCCGGCTGTTATGATGATTCCACGGCGTACTGAGAACTGCCGAGACTTGGTCTCGTTAGGTAATTTGATCAGAGTGATTGTGCCATTTTAATTATACTAATAGTTGTGTAGGTATATCTCGTTCCGTAATGTGTCCGATCTTAACACCAGAAACCACGCCCGCTGTCCCTGAAAATGATGGTTACAGTTAGAAAAATACAAAAGAAAGAACGAGGCCATCAAATCCTCAAATTCGAGCCGCTTCTGCTGGGCCCGGCCATTCCATCGGATACCTTCCTCGGAGAAACCTCCATCACCTTCAGCCTGGACCCTCCGCCGTCTTCTTCATTCTTCTGCTTCCCCTTGTCAACCTTTTCTTCCGCATCGATCCAGGCCCTCCTCGTGGGACTCTCCAACATCCCCGTACTCGCCCGCGCCGCTCCCCTCACCGCGCTCCTCGGCGTCGGGTTAAGCGGCCTGGGCCCCCTGATGATACTATGTGGCCGCTCTGCCTCCTCCTCCTCCTCGTTCTCATTCTCCTTCTCCTCCACCGCGGCCTTCAGCTCATCCAGCCTCCCACTACCCCCAGGCCGGCTCTTGATCACGGCGATAGAGTTCCTCGCGCCCTTGATCGATGCCCCGCGCGGGTTCCGCTTGGCCTTCTGGCTCTGGCTCAGACCCAGCGATAGGTAGTTCTGCCGCCCGATCTTGCTGATGCGGCTGTTGCTGCGATCCGGGCTGAAGCCGCCCCCGCGGAAGTTGGGCAGCGTTGGGCTGTCGGGGTCCGAGACGGAGGAGCCCGCGCTGAGGGTGCTCATCTGGCTGTTCATCCGCCGCAGCTGTGCTACCGTCGACTGTAGCCCCATCACGGCAAAGTCGCGGTGTTGGAAGGAGCCGCGCTTCGGTGAACTGTTAGCTGAGGAGGAGTTGCTGTTGAGCACAATGGACGGGCACGAGGTGCTCGGGATGACCTTGTCGGTGCGGTTGTCCCTTGGATTTGCTGGTTGGCGTGACTGCATGCGCTCGCGGATGGGGCTGCTGGCCATGCCGCGGCGCTTATACCGTCCTGGCGTGGGTGAGCCGTGTCTCGCCTCGCTGGGGAGTTCTGGGCTGGGAATAGGTCGGCGCGTGGGCGAGTGCGAGCCACGGCTGTCGAGAGAGTCCCTCGCTGTCGAGCGAAGGGTAGGTGATGTACCACTATTTGTGAAGCCGCCCCCGGCGCTGCCCATCGTCAACGCGTCGCGATTCGGTGACCCGTAGCCCGGTCGCAGGTTGAGAGGTGGCGGAAAGACAGGCTTCTGGCCAAAGGTGGCCCTTTTATTCGGCATCTCGGGGCGGCGATTGTTATCTTCAGGAGAGGTTCCCGGGCTAGCCTTCATGCTGGCCACGCTCGTGCTGGAGACCAAGAAGACGGGCTTCATCGACGCGACGCTCTTGGGGCGTATCGTCTCCGGCGACGGGGCGAAGTCGTCCGATGGCAACATCATCGATAACCGGCCGCCGTCTCTCTCCACCACGCTGCTCCGCTTCACAACATCCAACGGCCTGGGCACAGGCGAGTTGCTCGCCGATCTGGAATTGAAAGGGGGCTCGATCAGCGTCTTGTCTTCCGGAGGCGAGATGCGTCGGAGGGGAGGCAGGCTTGAAGATTGCCGCTTCGGGCTCCTCGGCGGCACGATGGGTGGCGAGATAAACGGATCGCAGATGGCCGTGTCGATTGTCAGCCCCTTTGGCTTCCGGCCTCGTATGATGCCACCCCCCTGGCCGCCCGTCTTGCTGTCGTCCTCTGGCTCGTTGACGCTGTACAGTGTCGACAGCGACGAGGATGCGTTGCTCCCGAGGGAGGTCATCGACATGCACCGCTCCTCTGGCTTTTCCCCTTTGCTCCCGGGAGACTCGTGATCGGACCGTCGACTGGGACTTGACAGCCCCGTGGGCAACACGTGCTCAACCTCTGGCGTCGTCTCTCCGAATAAGCTATCTGCATCTGAGACCGCTGATGACTGCGAGGTGTTGCGGCGGTGGTTGTGGACCGGTGTCTGTACCAACACCGGCGCAACCATCCTCTTGTGCGGACTCGGGGTGCGCGTCCTCTGCTGTTGGCGTTGCAGTTGCTGCAGTTGTAGCTGTTGCTGCATTTGTTGTTGATGCAAACTCTGCCGGAATTGCTGCTGCTGGATTTGCTGTTGTTGCAGTTGATGCTGAAGTTGCAGCTGCGCACTCGCATCCAACGCCTGTCCGACATGGTGAATCACCACGCTCCTTTCCGGCGACGACTCAAACTTGATCGGAGATGGCGGCTTCGTCGGCGAACGCGGCACCATCCTCACAGGTGACCCCGATAGTGAGCGCGGCGCCATCCTGACAGGCGAACCCGATACCATCCTGACGGGAGATCCCGATGCCGACCGCGGAACCATCCTGACAGGTGATCCCGACGTCAACCCCAGCATCTTCACTGGCGACCCCGACTTTGTGGGCGATCCCCCTTTCGTGGGCGACCCCCTCGGCGTCCTGACGCTCGACCCCGCCGACGCCGAATTCGCCCTCTGCCGCGTCGCAGGCCGACTGTTGCTCGGCGTTCCGTTCATCAACCTCTCCTCCGTCGACCGCAGGATCTCCGCCAAATCAGACTCGGTCGTCTTATGGCGCAGCCTTGGGAGTGGCGCCGGCCGCGGGCCCTGAGGAGATGGAGCCGGCACAGGGGGACCGCCCCTCGCGGCGGCAGCCAATCTCTCTGCGAGCTCGTACGAGGCCGTCCTCGGCAGCGGGATCCGAGGCGGGTTACCCCTTGGCGCGGGCAGACTCACTGGCCGCGGCTGCGTGATCGCGTACTGGCCACCGTCGCCGCCGTCGCCGCCCAGCTCGCTCGCAAACGCCTCCTCCTCCTTGAACGTCGAAAAGTCCGGCAGCGTGGGCGTCCGCAAGATGAAGCTGTCCCGAATACTCAGCCTGCGGTCGTCCTTCTGCACTCTCGGCCCATGGATGGCGTCCTCGTCGATCCAGCTGTTATTCCTCCGCAGATGCCCGCCGCGCTGCTGTCCCCCCTCCGCATCCGAATTCCCAAACACATTGAACGTCTTGCTCCGCGGGAGGCCGATGATGGACGCCAAGGACCGGTGCTGGTGCTGCCGCCGCTGGTGCTGGATCTCGGCCATGTCCATGTACGACCGGCTTCTGCCGTCGCGGCTGCCCGGCTTCGCTTTCGTGAGGCGGCGCGGGCGCGGGCTCGGCGTGCGCGGGGACCGGTCCCCGGCTTCTGAGGCGCCGCATTCTGCGTCTGTACGCGGCGAGCACGAGGCCGAGTTGGGGTTGCTGTTGCTGTTGTCTGAGCGGGCGGCGGCGGCGGCGCGGTGGCGGCGGCCTGCGAGGGCGATGAGGAGGAAGGCTAGGCAGATGAAGAGGAGGACGCCGCCGCCTATTGCTATCGCGAGGAGGAGGGGCAGGGTCATGCCGCTTGTTGCGGTTGAGGAGGCGGTGGGCGCTGCCGGTTGGGTTGTCGTGCCCGGGGCGTCTTCGCGGGGGAAGAGGGATGTCATTGTGTGAGCGCCCTTTCGTGGGTATCTTGCGTAAAAGGTCTATGGTGTCAGAGGTTTTTACGCCCCTTGGCGAGAGAATCCGGAGAGGATCAGAGTTGGTGAGGAGGTGATGAGGTTGCGAAGGAGATTCTCATGATTTGACACTGGTGATCCGGCGTTTCTCTACTTCTTTCCTACAAGTTCAAGTTGTTTCTCGGTCCATGTATGATAGAAATCCAAATTGGAAAAGGATGGGAAAAAACTACAAAGAGAAAGGAAATTCAGATAACGGTGTGTAAACAGAGTCAAAAGAATGGGCAAAACGGTCTAACCCTCCGAGAAGGTCAGGCAGCATAGAGGAGGGGATGCAATCACAAGATGCCGCTGTGTTGTTGTTCGCCTTCCAGGCCGCCTCATGAAATGAGAGATGGCTGGGCTTGCATTTCTCCCAGAGAAAATACACCTCCCAGCACCCGTGACAGGCTGGCTGGCTTCGATGGTAGGTCTTTCTTTCCGTGTTTTGACATCAGATCCCCAAAAAGAGAGATGAAGCGGTGGTCTCAGTCTAATCAGCCTTGGCTGGAATGCGTTTCCAGTGAGTTGTCCTGGGGAATGCATTCCAATAGAGGGATTGGGAAGGGGAGGAGGGCAGAAAAAAACAGCCTGCCCGCCCCCCCCGCGAGACCAGCTACCACAACTTAGAAAAGTCTTAGAACGCTCGGAACCGCGGGAGGCCGACAAGAACGTGATGCAATTTGAATTCGCGGTCCGGGCTGGGTGGCGGTCGCTGGTTTTGGGAATAGCCTCGCCGGGTGCTGGTATGCGGGCGCGGCTCGATGTCATCTGTGTTAGATGAGCTGACATTGCTCTTGGCTTGGGGCGGTAAACAACGACCTTTCTTGGGCAAGGACGACACACTCTTCGTTTACTATTTATATTTTGCCATCTTTCTTGAATGGTTTAGATAACCTTTTTACTTTGATGATCGGGTTTCTTGGGGGTTTATTACGATCTGGCCTTGCCGCTCCCCCTTGCATCCATTCCGCCCATCTTCATCTTCGCATGTGACCTCCCACTCTACAACCACTTCATCGCCCGGCCCAAAGACCTCTTCTTGCACTGCACCTCGTTGATCCTCAGCGCCGCCGTATCGTGACTCGCAATCTCAACAGTGACCTCGTCCTCAAACACGCCCAGATCCTTGCCCGTCCACATGTCGTGCACCGCGTACTTCCTCCCGGCCTCCAGCCCCGGCACCTCGCCGAACACCACCGTCTTCTCCTCCGTCCCCTCCAGCGTGTTGAGCACAAACACATGCGTCCCCTCCACGCTCTCCCCGGCCCAGAACTCCGCCGGGTGCGTGATGTTCCACGTCCCGTCCGGGTTCACCCCCCACTTGTACGGCTGCGCCGCCTGCCCAAACACTCCGTCCTGGTTGAACGCCACCAGCTCCTTGTTCACCAAAATCTCCAGCACCTCGGGCGCGATCCCTTCCAGCCGCGTGCCGATGATCAGCGGGCTCTTCAGCGCCGCCCAGAACGCAAAGTGGCTCCGGCTCTCCGCCAGCGTCAGGTTGCCGTTCCCGACCTCGAGCATGTCCCAGTCGCCGTGCCCCCAGAACCCGTTGACCTGCGCCGACGACCAGAACGCCGCATGATTCAAAATAGGCATCAGGCCCCACGACCACTGGTGCTGGCCCAGCCACTCCGGGTAGATGTCCCCCCACATGCGCCAGCTGTGGCCCGTCTCGTTGCCCCAGGCCTCGACGTGCGCGTGGCCCCACGCGCAGAGGGAGTACTCGATCGTGCGGTCCTGCGCGAGCAGCGCGTCGCGCATGCGGCGGTAGCGCTCCGCCGTCTGGGAGGTGGACCAGTCGTAGCCGGCCGGCGCGGGCAGGCCTGTTTTGGAGTTGACCGGGTCGCCGTTGTCTTGGTTCTCGTTCGGGGGCCCGCCGAGCCAGAGCTCGGGCACGTATTTCCAGTCGTCGAACCAGGATTCGGGGACGTTGCAGTTGTCGTACTTGAGGTCTGTGGGTGTGTTAGAGGTGATGTGTGCGGCTGAAGATTGTCACAGAGTGAGACGTTCTGGGGAGGGAGGATCTGGTGCAAGGGGGGTTGAGATCGTGGGGAGAGGGAGAAGGGGGGTTGTTGGATATGACGGAGGGGGAGAAACTCACAGTCGATGCCCCATTTCGCAAACGTCGCGGCGTCGATTTCCTCGTAGCCTAGCGATCCCTCATACCCGCCACACGTGGACGTCCCTGCAAGGAGTATGTGGTCAGCCATCAGCTCGTCGTCACATCCCAAACACTAGCCATCGCAGCATTCCCTCCTTCCCAGAGCCTCACTTGCACCCCTCCTCACACCGCGTACCGCGTCAAGACAACTCCTCTAAACTGCCCCTCACCGCGTCCGTCGAAAGAAACCCGGGGACAAGGAAAAGACTCACCCGCATCGCTGTAAATCCCAACCTTCAGCCCCATGTCATGAATCCGATCAACCATATGCTTCATCCCCAGCGGAAACTTCTCCGCGTCCACCACAATCTCCTTCGTGACATTATCCCGCCGTAGCTCCTTGTCGCTCCAGCAGTCGTCGATGTTGACGTACTCGTACCCCAGATCCTTCAGCCCGAGGTCCACCATCAGCTGCGCGACGCCCACGAAGACCGTCTCGTTGATGTCGCACCCGAACTCGTTCCACGAGCTCCAGCCCAGCGCGGGCAGGCGGCCCGTCACGCCGTCGCGCGAGACGAGCGCGCTGGCGGGGCCCGCGGCGGCGAGGGGGAGGATGACCTTTTGGGCGCGCATCCTTAGAGGGGAGGAGCTGTCGGGGCAGGTCTGTGTTTTATGTATGTAAGTGCTGGTGAACACAGAATGGCCTCGTCGGGAAGAAGAGAGGACTGCGCCGGTGGGATGAAGGTAGAGAGGAGGGTGAGGATGGGTTCTTCATATACACCATCGCCAGTCCCCTCATCAAGCGACCTGCGTGAATAGCTTCAATGCCAAGGGAACAGAATGCAACATACCCCAAAACCGTCCCAGTCCCATTGTCGTGCCACGATCCCCGCAATGAACAAGAACACCACCAACCCCGCGACCTTTGACATTACCTCTCGACCCATTGCGTCGTCTGATCGCTGCTCCTCCCGGCGTGCTGAACCAGGGTACTGGGATCAAGAAGGGTTACGGTGAGGGGTACTCGATATCGACGACCGAACTCGCGGGCAGCTCCAGTTCATCCGATGAGGGGAAAGGAAACAAACGTCAATTGTTGGTGGGCAACCCAGGAGAAATGCAACGCCATCAGCGGCCCAAGCCAGATGCGCGGAGGATCGCCGTCCGAGGAAAGATGGGGGGATGCGATGCGGGGTTGGAGCCTGCACGTCACGCAACGTAGTTAAAGGCCAAAAAGCGTCGGCGCGTCGGATACGTTCACCAAGAAAGCTGCAGCGGGGTTTGCGTCCGACGGCGTACAAGATAGTAAAACGGCCCGCTCCCATGGCGTCGGGAATGGCGTTGTGTGATTCGATTAGAAGGAAAAACTACTGCAGGCCAAACTGCATGGCCGTTGAGCGATCCGGAAGCGGTCTAGGCCATGGCGGAAAAGCGGCGGAGTAAACGTCCTGATGCTTGGCTCGACGACGTCGCTTGTCGGAATGGCGGGAGAGGGGAATCAAGCGCGGGGAACCATGGAGATGGTGTAAAAGTCGGATCATCACAGAGCGGGCATAAGGGGATCAAATGTCTCTACGCGGGTATATGGTCAGGTGAATGCCGTGAATGGGAATATCTTCAAACGACATTGAACAAGAGGTATCTCTCAGACATAAAACGCCTACAGGATGATGATGATGATGCACTGAGTCGTTACGAAAGCAAAAGCGAAAAGCAAACCACAAACACCGCCAATCAATGGCTACGACGACGGTCCCCGACTACGCGCAGCTCACGAACGTCCACCGAGAAGGAAAACAGAAAATGCAAGAACCTGAACTTGATGATTTGCCGCCTAATGATCACCATATCTCATGACGCAGGCCATACCATGCCCATACCTTGCTAACTACCTCCAGAAAAAAGATGCGTCTGCTCATAATGTCCAGACAACAACAAAAGGTTTCCATGAGCAAGATACGGGAAAACCAATGGGGAGCCAAATCATTTCCGTGGGAAGGGTTCCTTTTGCTGAGGAGAAACGGACGTTGCATCCTGATGCTTGTCCTGCACAAACGCGATCCCAAACCCTAATTTTTTCGCAACCCATAACCGAAATGGAGACGAGAGTCCCAGAAAATCGAGAAAGCAACGAAGCCACTTAGAAGTGGTGGCGACGGTGGTGGTGAAGGTGACGAGCACGCATGGCAGGAGACGTGGGAGTCGCCGTGACTGTCTGAGTGGTCGTGATGTCGTCGTACTCGGTGACGTAGACAATCTCCTCCTCCCAGTAGATGATCGACACGGTGTGGCCGTTCGTGATGGTCTGAGTGGACACGAACTTGGGGGTCGAGGTGGGAGCCGAGGTGATGGACTCGAAGATGGGGGTAGGCGTCTGCTCGGGAGCGCTGGTAGCGGGAGCCTCCGAGGAAGCAGCCTCGGCAGCGACTCCAGAAGCGGTGCCGTAGCCAGCCTTGCCGCTCTCGTGGAAGACCTGGCCGGGAAGAGGGTTGGCGGTAGCAGTCTTGCCGGGAGTGTAAGTGAGGACAGGGACGGTGGGAGTGATGATGGCCGTGGGCTTGATGGAAGAGCTGGCAGAGCCGCCAGAGCCGCCCTCAGAGGAGCCGTCACCGAAGGTGATGGGGACATTGCCGGGAAGAGCAGTGTCGGGGCCAGTGACGTTCTCAGAGGAGAGGATGGAGGGAATGCTCATGTGGCACTGCTTGACCTGAGCCTCAGTCTGAAGGTCGAAGATGGCGCAGTCCTCAATGCGACCAGAGCCGTTGGTGCAGGTGTCAACGGCCTCCTGGAGGAAGTCCTCATCCCAGCCGGACATGAAGTCACCGTGGTATCCGTAGCCCTGGGTGTCACCGTTGGCAATGACGAAGCGGCCAGCACGGTCCTTGAAGGCGTAGGTGTTCCAGATGGTCTCGTACAGCAGGTTGGGGGTGGAGGTCTCAAAGCCCTCAGGGCAGGTACCATCAATGACAAGGTCAGGGTAAGCCATGTGGGACTTGTGGTCAGTGGAATCGAGATCCTTGCCGTTCCAGCAAGAAGGGAACATCATCTCGAAACGCACACCGTTGGCGCAGTTGGCATCGAGGTAGGCCTTGTCGGGCAGGAAGTGGCGGTAGAGAGTGCCCTCAGGAGCGCGAGCGTAGTTGAGGCAGTTGAAGCCGACAGCGCGCTGCTCGAGGACGGACTGCTTGGTCTGGCCAAGCGCGGCCCACTCAGACTTCTGGGGGTCGGGCTGGGAAGGGTCGCCAGCGGTGTAGTTGCGACGGTCAGTGTCACCAGCAACCATGCGGAAGCCAGGCGGGAATGCCTTGATATTCTTTCCATTAAGAAGATAATACCTGTCCATGTTAGCACGAGGCGCTCAGTTGACAGTTGTAGGATTGCAGGACTTACGCAAGCATTCCGCCGACTTGCTCGACAATCTCGAACTCGCCAGTGGCAGAGTCCTGGAAGTAGAGAGCAGGAGTCCAGTAGGCGGACTTGTCCTGGGTGACACGGCACGAGGTGCAGTCAGCGCCGGTGAGGGCAGCGAAGTCAGCAGAGGGCGAGATGCCTGTCTTTGTGTTAGTCCATGTGCCAAGCAAGGCAAAAGGGGAATCATACCGCTGGAGCCGTGAATGGCGTGGACGTGAGTGGCAGCCTCGCCAGGGTTCATGAGAGGGTCAACACGAGCGAGACCGACACGGCCCTGGCACTCCATGCGCCAGAAGGCGTCAACAGAGCTGACGAGGAGGGCGCCGACGGAGACGGAAAGCTGGATGGCGTTGAACTTCATCTTGGCTGATTTGAAGTGGTCGATGGAGGGTATCAGAGATAGAATAAGGGGGGTAAGAAATGATGATACGAAAGATGGGGTATCAAAGTAAGGTATGCCGATGCGACAGAGGGTCGTTGGGTTCCAAAAGGAAAAAGGAGAGTGAGTACGCGATGTGGAAACTTGCCGGTTGGAAAGAGTCTGAAATCGCTACCTGAGCAACCAAAGGTCTCTTAGACAATAAAATATTGAATGAGAGTCCTGGTTCCAAAGTCCAGTTGGAGTGCAGAAAAGAACGAACCTCGCAAAGGTCGAGGCGCGCAAACGATACTTGGTGATCTTTCGGTTGAGGTGTTGTGGGTTGTTTTTGTGAAGGCGGAGGAGAAAGTTGTTGACGTGAGAGAGAGGTGGGAGAGTTGAGAGGCACCAGGTCGGCGTGAGATCGAAGAAGGGCGGGTGTGTGGGGCTAAGCGAGACGCTAAAGGGCGGTCGAGGTGGTGAATGAAGCTGTTGATGGAAGGAGGTAGGTTGTGGGTGTTCACCGAGCCTTCCTTTTTTGGACCTTCCTTAACGAGTCGACAACACACTTTGTTGCTTCTTTGACGCTGTTAGGAGTGAATCAGAACCTTTTCGACGAAAGAGATTCTGATGTTCAGTGACTGATTTTCCTAGCACGTGACGTGGGTTTGTTGTTTTGATGATGATGGTGGAAGGTGCGTCGTCGGTGAGGGTGGTGATGGCTAGACCTCAATACTGTCCAATATGAGGCGGTTGACTTCGACACTGTGGAGATGCGACTTTTACGTTCTTGTCTTGCAGGCACAAAACCAAATTGGAATTCCGGCGTTTGATGCCCAGCACCTCAGTCAGAGTCCTAAATTGAGTGGTGGTGAGAGCAAGGAGTCGCTTTTCGGTGAGGCGGGTCGGTGCGGGAGTACGTCTAAGACGGGATGCGCGATGCGTCGTTTTGGCGGTAGAATCTAGCGGAGCGGGTTTACGAGTTCGATGAGTCCTCCTCTTTTACAATCTACGCTTGATACGAGTGACCGTTTTACGCAGTTCGGGGTTGACGTCGGGCGACTTGGCGTGAGGCGGTTTGCGATATGACGCTGTCGGGGGTTCGTGTAAGACGATGTCTGGCGATGACACTGGCCGGGCGGGAATGGAACCTGGGATCGAAGCCGCGCAAGGAACCGGAGGCTGGGAAAAAACCGATAATACCACAAGAAGGTAGTCTCGAAGTCGATCAGCAACGGCTGTCTTTTTTGCAAAAAAGTCGAGTCAAGAAACGAATGCGATCAACACACACACACAAACGGGGTCCAAGAGAAATGAACGTGCAAGACCTGCAAAAGGCAGCAGGGACTTGAAGCCAAGAAAGGAGCGGGATCCGCAAGTCGGTATTTCGGGAGGAGGGAAAAAAGAATGGCTGAGGGCGACGAGCTGGAGAGCAAGCCACGAGATCAAAAAAGAGAGTGAGAGCGAGCGAGCGGCGGCGAGCGAGTAAGAGAGTGACTGTCAGAGACCCCGTGAAGGTGACGGATGGAGGGGGAGGGAAGGAGGGGAGAAGAGAGACTGGAATGGAAGTGATGCAGAAAGAGCACCGGGAGTGAGGGTCTTAGGTAGGAATCAGACGGCCGAAGGCCCAGGTGGAGAGACATGGCTAGAGGATATGGGCAATTCGCATTCTGCTGGGGGGATGGGTAAATGGGGGCCGCTGCGCTGCTGCTGGGTCTGCTGGGTGTGGTGAGGGTCACGGTGTGAGGAGGTGGACAGGGTGGACTCCACGAGATGGAAGGTGGCCCACGGTCGGGTGCCGCCTTCCACGCCCCTTGAGTGCCGGGGGTGTGTTAGCCACGGACCACGGTGCTCACCCCCGGCC